TCTCGGGTATAATGGACAGTTCAAAATTTCCAATCGCCAAAAAATACGTGGGAGTGGGTAAAACGACGCTGCGCTCGAGAGACACCGGGAAAAGGTGTTAAACGAGTCGGATAAGACACTCGAAACTTGGCGTTCTTTATCTATTGCTCCCTCTTTCCCTGTATACTCACCACGTGAGTGTACGTGTATGGTACTCATATTTCTCGTGTGCACACGCTGCAGCTTCGGAGGGGAAAAAAAAAAAAATTGTCGATTCGAAAAGTAAAAGAAAGAAAAAAACACCACTGAAATAAAACCCGCACGGCTTTTGCCTATTACGTTTAATCTCGCTATCCAATGTAATCGTATGGGGATAGCATTAAAAGTAATTGAGGCCATTTATTTCGCGGAAAGACAGCCAAAGAAAAATCCGATTAATCTTCGCGAGAAATAAAAGCTAAGTATATAATTACAGGTGAGACTCTGGTGTATACTACAGTGGTGCACTAAATGCACAGTAGTATATACGGTGGTAGGCCTCGCGATTTTATTTCTCGCCGGTTGTTTTATGTACACGTGGTACGGGCTCGGTGTACCATTTTTCATTTGTTGGGAAAAAGTATCTGCTGTCATTTGAAAAAATGTCAAGCTCCTTTCTCGTGGATTTGCTCCTGCATCCTTGAGAAAATTGAGGGAAAGAAAAGAGGGCCATTCGAGGACGTGTCGGTTAATTGAAATTTAATTATCCCCTAATTAGATCCAACTTTTCAGCCGCGACACGCCTTCCAATTTTCTCGCCCCCTCCCCTCACCTGTACCTAATCCCTTGCTTGGCAGTAGAGCCCGGGGATAACGATCGCACGCCTTTTCCTTCCTTCCATCTCAATCTCGCAAAAATAATCCTCGGCATCAACATATATCTCTCCTCCAAGTGGAGCCCTGCGCGACAACGACCGCACCGACTGAGTACCCAAGGATGAAGAAAAAAAAAAAAAAAAAAAAAAAAAAAAAAAACATGATAAAAATCGTAAGCCAAACTTTCGAATGAAATTTTGACGGGAGCAACGTTCACCTGCTGTTCATTGAATTTCATTAGATGAAATTACTTTTAGTGAAACATTTACAATTCGAAGGTATACGTGTCAACCTTGTAAAATGTTCATACACACACCCAACAACAACGATACTTTCGAAAAAGCAAGTCTCCATTAAAATCAAAAGCTAAAAAATGATCTCAAAACAAAGGTGATTTAGATTTTTCGTAGACTTGCTCGTGTACACCAATTACATGAATGTAGAAACGAAGGGCGGGTCAGCGAGCGCTCGCACAAGCACGGAGGGTTATATTAGAGAAGAGGGTTGCTCTTGAAGTGGTCTCAAGCTTCTTCTTGATGCGCTGCAACTCATTACCTCGGATAGTTAGGTACGATGATGATGATGGGCCAAAGTGCGCCCGGGCGAGACCAACAGAGAGCTTATATTAGTATTCCTATAGAGCTTGAAATACCCTGCACGTGTATATAAGTATACGCGCGCTATTACATTTTCCTTGCTCATACACAAAAGGGCTTGCACTCGAGTACATAATATTAAGATATACCGTTATACACTGTATACATATATACATATACGTGTGCGTGCCGCGGGGCTTTTTCCGAGTTCCGAGTGGTATAATTGCAATACCAAGTAAGTAGACGTGGAACCAACTCCTCTCTCTCTCTCTCTCGTCTTTATTCCTCCCTCGCTAATTGGTGCGATTCATTTGAAATTATCGAGGGTTGCTTCGTTATGTATTTAACTAATTGGCCTGGCAAGAGGCGAACATTCGCGTATGCCTGTAGGTACAATGAACGACGGGTTCTGTTAACAACCATCATCCGTATAAGGATCCTCAAAATCACAACAGAATCTCACCGTTTGTTGTAAAGACTTTTATTTTCGTTACAATTCCTCTCTAACTTGTTCGAGGGGGGAGGGAGAAACCAAAAAAGCTCTAAACATCTCGGGACGAGTTGTACCGTTTGTCACCTCCCCCGTGTATGCACATACACGACACCCCAAACCCAGAGACAAGACCCTCACGTGCACGCAAAAAGATTTACAGCCGGACGCGAGCAATTAATGAGCCACTTATATGTACACATAGAGCTGGTTTCTGCACCGCTGTATGGATACACGTATATATATATTTTTGCCTCCTCTCGTCGACGCGGCGCCGCGCGACCTTAACGAGCCGTGACGTTTCGGAATGAGTTATTCGGCAGCCTCCTCTCGCTGCTCCTCCCCTTCTATGCCCTCCTGTGTTATTTCCCGGGGAGTTCACGTGTGCCATACATGCCCCCTTTTGCAAATAGGCCGCGACTTTTTCAACTGTACCCCGATATACTTTTATTTACAATCGAGGTCAACCCGTCCGATCGGTATGCTTGCTCACGGGATAATTTATTTTCAATCAATCGATTTCTCGAGCACGTGCCTCATCAGCTGTTTATTCGCATTTGAGTGACTCGGTGTATTTTATTGCCCCAAAGAAAGGAAGAAAGAGAAAAGGTCCACGTGCACAATGTAATATTGTGTCGTGTGCCTCGAGAGAGCCACCAAACAACAGAGAAAAGCCCGATGCCCATGGTATATAAAACTCGAACGAGTGGGAGGCCTCGCGTATACAACCTACTCTACATATTTTTCATGATTTACGGAGCGTACACGCACGCGACAGATTTATCCTCCGTGGGTGCCACGTGACAAAGTATATACTGCCCCTTTCTCTCTCTTATATCATATTCTCTTGCGGAAAAAAGAAACATCTCCGTTTCTTTCTTTTTTTTTTTTTTTTTTTTTTCCAAAAGCAGGCATCGTAACGGGCGCTCATTTGAATATACGTGCAAACAACAAATGATTTACATCTCGTGGGTATGTACTCTGTTGTACTTGTGTATATATAACGTGCGCGTTTTGATTAAATCGTGTTTTATTAGGTTCGCGCGACAAAAGGCGAAAGACGATCGATGAGCCGTTGTGTAATTTTGCGCGAAAAACAAAAAAAAACCAAAAAGTTGCCACGTTTTCTCACAGCTCGAGCCCGGGATCTGTATGCGCTCGCCCCGAGGGGTGCGCGTGCAATATCATTTTGGAAATTTCTACTTTCGACCTGCAGGCGAACGGGCATATCGAGGGGAGAAAGGGCTCCGCTAACGACGGCCAATTTACGTAAATGCAGGTATGTGTTATGTACTATGGAGAGCGTGTGTGTTTTTGCGTGCGCACGATGCAGCCCACGGGATGAAAGGGGGATAAATCGCGTGGGAAAACAATGACGATGATACACCAACCCCGCGTGGCAATTTGTTGCGGGCCCGCAGAGTAAACATCGGGAGGACTGCCATTGGCCGATCCGAATAATACCGGCGATCGGCACCTCAACAATGGACCGATTGACTTTGCATAGGTATAATATACATACTTGGGAACGTTTTTTTACGTCTGCGGAAGAGGTGTGTGATAAATAATGGGTAAGACGTTTTTTTTCAAGTTGTACAAGTGTACTCGTGGGGTTGATGGAAAAGTGGACATTGTTTGCGATGGTAAACGTGGACCGTAGGCAAATTGAAATCTGTTGGAACATTGATAAATATAAAAACCAAGGGCTGGTCAAAAGTATATGGATAATCCGCCCACTGTATCTATATACAGTTTATCGGTATCAATCGCCGCCCCGTTTCATTCATAAATGCATCCATCGAGCGTAATACTATCCCACTGGCGGCATCTCTTCGTCCCGCTTCGAACAGCGATCAGCCACGTCGTCCTCGATCGGTAAAAGTTGTTCTCACCTTAGCGGTGGCGCTGCGTCGCGTCGACCTTCCGAAACTTATATTCTTTCCGGCCAATCGACAGCAGCGCAAACTCGCGATCGTCTCCCCAACGAAAAAGAAATCGATATACCTGTTTTTCCTCTCCCCGCACCCATACCGATCTTTTTCCTCTCGCCTTCGTATACATTGGCTGGCTAACACGAACAGGTAAGTATACAATTTTACTCGTACAGCCCACTCGTTGTTCCATGGCCGTGAAAAACCCGTGCAAGATAAAAAAAAAGAAAAAAAAGAAAAAAAAAAAAAGGAAAAGGAAAACGGAGAGAAAGAGAGGCCCCGCCACGAGGAAAATAGATAATTCGAACCGTTTGCACCAGGGAAAAAGAGAGAGTGCAGTCAGCGCGAGAAGGACAGCTCGCGCTCGAGCGATGACCGATCATCGGACAAAGACAGTTGGCCGCGCGCCTTCGTATATACCGCGTCCGCATCAGTTATGTAGTATAATAAGGCATAATCAGTTGTAGTGTTTTAGTCGTCGAACACGGGGCTAGTACGTGTTACAAATGAGTACGTATAAAACCACCTGTTTTTACCGATTTTTGAAAAAAAAAAATATATATATATATATATTTCTATATTTTACTTCATCTAAAGTCCGACATTGCGCGTACATAGTACAACGTACACTTATCTCCGCAGAACGCTCGATTCGTCCCTTCCATTTTCATGCATTTCTGTTATCGCGCTCCAGATATTCTCTCTCTCGGCGCGACCAGTTACAGCAGATACCTAGTGTACAAGCGGAGGAGTAGCAGTTCACGGTGTGTGTGTGTGTGTGTGGGGGGGGGGGGTTCACGAGTCTGTTTAATACATAATATGTATACCTATGGGTATAGGTAAAAGCACTTAGCTGCGGGAGTTGAAGAAAACAACGGGGCCTGCTGCCAACAAACAGCCGAGAGGCAAGAGAGAGAGAATCGGGAATCGGCACGCGAGACTCGCTCGCTCATTATACCAAGAGAACACGACACGTGGAAACGGATTCTCTCCTCTTTATTTTTTTTCTTCTTCTTTTTCTTTTTCCTCCCAAGTTTCCGGGAGCACATAGTGTACGTGAGCTGTTTTTTTTTTTTTTTTTTTTTTTTTTTTTTTTTTTTTATCCCCTCTTGCAGTGCATCCCTTCGCAAACGTGCATTCTTGAATGGTTCGAGAGTCCATTCTCCCTCCGTAAATGTATACCTCCGATGCCAGCTAGCTGTCAGGTATGTGGCATGTATTATATTATTGGCTCCCGATAGCACGTACGCGTTTTTACGATGTTTCTTTGCAGAAATAATTCTTACACGATACGTGTGAAAAATTTCACGCATCTATCGTGTATACCGATCGAGAGCAATAGGTGGGCCAAGGAACGAAAATCATACGTACGCGCGTTTATAATTAATAAAGTTTTCTCTCTTTTCTACCTTTTGGTATACATATAAACCTGTTTTTTACCGCGAAAAGCTGGCGCTATACTTACCGATCTCGTGTACGGCGGTCACGAAAACACCTGCGCGGTGCGTACACTTATACATGTTTTGCGCGCGGACTTACGTTTTTCATCCCCAAAGGGATGAAAGAAAACCTTTCATGCGACGTGCCGTTGCTCCAGGTATACATTTTCACTCAAGAGTGTCCGTACGAATGTACGTATAAATGCATACGCACTTGGTTCTTTCGTGACTGACACGCTGTACATAATATGCGCGCACACGTGACGGGGGCCCACTTCTCCTCCGTTACCTCACCTACTCTCGTCAGCTGTTGCCGTCCGCGATACACGTATATATATATATTACCGAGCGGTTTCATGCGTGACACGGCCCTCCCCGATGACTAAGGACCGCCGCCGGATGACGCGTCGCCCTCTTTTATTTATTTTTCTTTGTCCTCAAAGGTTTTTTTCGTTTTTTTACATGCGTGCCTCCTTCTTATGTACACTTACTTTCCGGCTATTGTTAATGGGAACGTTGTACTTCGTGTGCCGCACACTGTCACCCGGTTTGTCTAATCAGATCTTATAATTACTCGGAATTCCGTTACCCTTTTGTCTGCCCTTGCTAGATAATTAACAATATATTTCGATAAGTCAAAATGCTTATCGTGTAATCACGATGTACTTGAAGTCTAATGTGTTTTGCGCTTCGAGCTAATCGCGTACGCACCGATGCCTCGGGTTATGTAAATCGCTAATAAAGACAGTGGGAAATGGCACTTGCTTCTTTATCTGATAAAAGTGAAGCGCCATCGCGGTCTTTTGTTATTGCACCGATTGGGAAAGTTTTTCGAAATTTTGGTAAATTGAAGTAGGTTAATACAGTAGTGTTTTCGAGAAGGCAAATTAATTAGTACATTGAAATATAAACTTCACATCGGATATTCAAGAGCATAACAAAGGTATACGGAGCTTCGACTGGAAAACACTTGGACTCTGTTAATGATTCATTGTCTTTTGAAACTCGTCATTCTCTCAAGCACACTTGTATATTTACTTACTCTCGCGATGTTTAAAACATCGGGCGAAGCCCATGCCGTTCCGATAGTAAATCATCTTTCAAAAAAAAAAAAAAAACAATCAAACAGTGAAGATTATTTTTTTTTTTTTTCTTACTTGTTGAATAAAAACGTATAAGTATGTCGTTTGAAAAACTTGAAGTGTTTAATCAGTGTTCACACCATAGCTTCCCACGTGCCTAATATGATGCGTTTATTGGCAATCAGGCCGCGCTAAAAGGTGTTTTCCCAACATCGCCCGACGAAACGCTAATGAAAATTCGTATTTCAACGAACCGCGCATATACCTACCCACGTGAGTTTCAACAAAGAACAACCACTCGAACGAAAGGAAAAAAAAAAAAAAAAAAAAGTTGTCATTCTGCCCCAGAGCGAGAATCCGCGCTAACAACGGCTCTCGTTATCGACAGCACGAATCAGCGTTAAAATAAAAAAGAAATATCAAAAAAACTCGTTGATCTTTGTTGTTTCAGATCGGCAGTCGCTATGAGGGCGAAGCATCAGCGGCAGGAACAACAACAACAACAACAACAGGACGAGGAGGAGGAGAAGCAGGAAATGACGATGAGATCGACGTGCAACGAGCGATTTTTATGACGACGCCGGCAGCTGAAAATCAAAAATCGACACGAGAGAGAGAGGGAGAGGAAAAAAAGTGTTGTTACCGTTGCAAAGAGAGAGAGAGAGAGAGAGAGAGGGAAATAGGCGCCTTATCTGACAGTTCTGGGCGCCTCTATCAGAGTCGCCCGAGGCCGGAGCGCTGGTGTTCCGGGATCTCGATTTTTTCGCCCTCCCTCCCTCCGCGGCGCTTTTCTATTCAGTCGAGCCTAACGGATAAGAGGACGCGAGGATGACCTGCTGGAAGATGAAGTCCTGCCTGCCCTGGAGGTTCGTAACAGTTATGAACTACAAACGCCTCCTCCCCCTCCTCCTCCCCCTCTCTACACATGTGCTAGTTTCTTTGTGGATACGCGCTATACGTGCAACCCTTGCGGATACACGACGTTTAATTTACTTTTGTCTTTCATCCTACAATCTATCGCGAGACAAATGAAACGATCATCGTGTACTTTGGCCTATTTACCCGCGTTCATGCATATAATATATGCAAACGTGTCGGTGTACCTTTCCAAGTATATTATGTTGTACATGGCTCACGACGCGATATCCGAGGGCTTATTTTACGAGTCATTAAAGTCGAAATGGACCAATAACGCGATTTATGGTCCATATTTGTGACGAGATGTGCTGGTCGTAAAAAAAAAAAAAAAAAAATAATTTTACGGTTTTTCTTTAAGCTAACTGTCGGTCGATCGTTTTCAACTCGAGGTGTATAGGCACGTATTTGCTTTTTTCTTTTCCTCTCGGTTTTTCGTGAATTTGCAAATTGTACGTGCCAGTGAGGATGATTTCATTTTTTTGAAATCTTCGTGTCCTGTATTTTAAATAAACTATACGTTTGGGACTTGAATTGAAACTAAAAACGTCCCCCTGTAAAGGGGCCATTTTTACTTTAATTGAATTCACGGTACCGTTGCAAGGAAAAAAAGAGAAAAAAAGGGCATTAAACCGATCGTTGCAGCACTAAATTAATAAAATCCAGTTTAACTGTACGAAGGGGGCAATAATCGAGGCCCTGCTCGAATCATTTTACAAGCGCGAAAATGGACGAACGCGCGAGAAAGACGTACGGAGAGAAATTAAGGCAAAGGTATTACCTATATGCATGTAACGTGCCCTCTCGGGACGTTAAACGCGCGCGTACTTTGAAAGTATAGGTAAGTACGTGCCAACACCGATGAGCTAAAGGTCGGCGTCTATTAGCTGGCTCTTACAGCCGTTGCACTTACTTACTTACGCTATACGTACACAGATACACTTATGCACGGCATGATAAAACCCAAGGCATCAAAATCCGTAGTGCACGTCGATGTATGAATTAGACGGCGATGCCTCGTGGATCTTGGCCGAGTCACTCTCGTTCAGTTGCATTATAATGTTGACGTTGATGCACGAGCACCGTCTTAGAGTGTATATATACATATACGAGCAACATTGTGATTAGCTCGGGATGTATGATTTTGTCGGTGTTCACGACGTTACGATGTGGCCTTGGTGGAAAAAAACCGTGAATTAGTATGCTTTGGGATTGACCGACGCGTATATTTGAGGCTGCGCGTTTATTCAATGAAAAACTACTACTTAATAATCGTACCCACTCGGTGGGTGTCTGTCGAAACAGGGAGGAGGAGGAGGCTGTGGACGATGATCTCGAGACGGTGGCCGAGCGAAAGCAGCGCTACAACAGCATCTACGTCATCTACTTCACGATGTTTCTCATGTCCCTGGGATTCAGCATCGTCTTGACCGGGATGTACCCGTACTTGGAGAAGGTGAGCCTGACCTTATTTTTCCCACTTTTTTTGTTTTTTTCTTCTATTTTTATAAAACATGTTTGTCACGTGTGAAAATGTATGCCAGGTAATGCAGGGGAGATTGGTTACTCGTTCAGGTGCACGCGGGTTCTTTACTTATCTGTGAAAAAAATTAAATAAAAACAATATCATAGCTGATTTGATTCGTATGAAATTATGAAGGTTCGTTCGTGCGTCCACGTGGGCCAAATGGTAGAAAAACTGGATAACATATACGCAGTGAACGCGTGGGAACCAAGTAAACGGCTTTCGAGTCCGCTTGTAATACTATGTACAATCACTACAATCTAGCTTTGTCTCCCTCACGATAACTCCAAAATAACGTTACGCTGTACCGTGAGGTTACGGCTCTTCCCTTCATCACTTTCGGTACTTGTACGTAATATACACCTCAGCTCGATAAAACCAACACAAAACAGTACAAGGTCGAAAGTTTTAGTTTTTTACTATTCAGTCTTTCAAATAGATGGAGGAACAAGTATATAGCTTTTAAAACTTTATCATCAATCATTTCGCGCAAACGATATAATTTTACATGCGCACGTATTTATTAATCGGCCAAAGAGGTAGTTTTCGACCCAAGCGAGCGAAGGGAGAAAAAAAAAAAAACCTCGGGGGCACTTCATGAAATTCAATACGCACCGGCCCTTCAAAGATTGATGAATCGATACCGCGATCGTTATACATGATAAATAAATACATACATATACGCAGTGTTTTTACAGTCCGGGTAAGGAGTACTTTAAGAAAAAAAAAAAAAAAAAAAAGGAAGAAAAAAAAACAATGGTTAATAAAGGATCCATTTGGCAACGAGCGCGGCCGGACAATTGGGAAAAAGCACACGGGTCGGGCGCAATAAATTCAGGATCCGGCAGGCGCGCGTTTTTGCACCTCTAATGTATTGAATTAAAATTCCCCGGCCCAACGATGCGAAGTACTTCGAAAAGTATTCCCTCGCGCTGCAGTCGTCCGAAGGGCAAGGAGGGAAAAAAAGAGGGAGGGGGGAGGGGGAGAGAAACAAGACCGGAGAGAGGCAAAGAAACGCGGCCCTCCTAAGCGGCTGATGAGATTCCCCGGCCCTCCCGGTGCAGAGGAGAAAAAAAAAAAAAAGGAGAGCGCCGAGGACTCTCGCAGGAGTCCCTGGAATCCGCGCCGCGCTCGTATATGCGTCCCCCGATTTGTTCCTCGCAAAGGGGGGAAAAAAAAAAACCAAGGGTATATATAACAGGCAGAAAGACGCCTGGATCCGTGCGTGGAGGCTGCTCTCTCGAATCGTCGATGCGCCCGCGCAAAAAAGAAGGGAGACCGGCACGAATTTACAATGAGGAATCGGGGGGTCAGAAAAATAATCGTCTTGTGTTGTTGTTCGCAGCTAGACAACTCGACGGACAAGGAATTCATGGGGTACGTGGTGGCGGCGAATCCGCTCGGGCAGATGCTCTTCTCGCCCCTGGTAGGCTGGTGGGCCAACAGGCGCGGCTCGATACGCTTACCGATGCTCACGACTTTGGGGCTGTTTATCCTCGCCTCGGCCGTGTACAGCACAGTTGAGGTCATTCCTGGGGAGCACAAGCTTCTACTCATAGTCTCGAGGTTCCTGGTCGGCGTCAGTTCGGGTAAGACATTTTCTGTAGGCAATGCCGTTTACCACATATCACGTATCGTTTCAGCTTGGAAGTGGAGTCGGCACTTATAATGCGCTTTTTCACCTAGACGAGTCGTTACTAATGGCTTTTTACCCGATTATAATAATAGTTTAAAAGAGAGAGAAGAAAACCAACGAGAGACGCTGGCGTATGCAGTAGCAGGGGCAGCAATCTCCCATCGGATACCAGAAAGAGAGGAGAATCCTCTTTATCCGGCGAGGATCTGCGCGGCCAATCGCTTTATAATAAGATTGATAAAGTCAAGCTCGGACCGACAGAGAGACAAGACGTTCGCTCGCTCGCTCGCTCGGTCTAGTAAAAGAGAGAGAGAGAAAGTGAGAGAGCTAATGGGCGACGAGGACGACCATCCGGAGGAACGCTCGCGCGTACGGGGTATATGTACACACAAATACGCGCAGAGGAGGCGGATATGCACGCCAGCCGAGGCGAATAATTCACGCGTTATCTTGGCCATCTTTTCGCGGCAGATCTGCCTCGAGGATCTAAGGAGCGACGGGGGTTGAGGATAAGAAGCCACGGGCAAGAGGATAGATGGATCTTTTACACGTGTGTGTATATGTATATACATTTATACAGGCTAGTCGGGAGGTGCTTGAGACTGTGTGGTCCCGGCGAGCTTTACAATTGGAGTTTATTGGCTCGAGGATCGTTTGCCCGATTCCTCCATGCATCGATCTTTTCGACGCTCTCTCCTTACTGCGCTCCCACTAGTAATTTAACTACACGACGTGCATAATTTTCGTCCTTTATTTCTCCTTTTTCTTCTTGTAAGTTGCAAACGGGGAAATTGCAGTCACAAGCTTGCCCCACGGGCTTTCAGAGTATAATGTATGCGACGAGGAGTAGGTGCAAATTGTTCGGTCTGAAATCGTAGCCGAGTGTGTAGTTTTCAAGATTTTGGATGAAAATTTTTGAGACTCCTTTGAGAGCTTGAAAGAGCTAAACTTGCAATAAATTGTTGACAATGATAAAAGTTTAGGATTGATGACATTTGAAACATTTTACAATGACTTACATAGCAAAATCTTGGCAATTTGATTGTATCAAAAAAATTTAATATTCTTACCTGTTAGATGACTGCCTGTGAATTCGAAATCATCGTCCTGGTCCCAATGCTTCAAACTGAGGTTCGACAGAGAAGTGGCATTGGCGAATTCCAAATTTGCAAAGTGCCAATCTAAAATTTGGCGATCTTTCGAAGAAAGGTACACGTCACTGAAATAATAATCAGGATCACGTTAGTATTCTGCTGTAAAAATATACCCTTTACAAAAAAGTAATCATTAAAATTCTTACCTAGGTGGAGATGCCTCAAGTTCCTGAAGCTTGGCCTCAATTTCTTTCTGTTGATCAAAGAGTTGATCCCATTCTTTGCACGAATTCTGGAGGTCACGTAATTTTGATCTATATACGAATTCTTGAGTTATATCTCTAGGCTGCTTGCTGTCTGACATTTCTTTATACTCTTTAGTGAGTTCCGCCATGTGTTCTTTGATTGTTATCATCTGCATATGAAATGTACAAATTAATAATGAAATATTTCAAATTAATAGATCTCACACTAACTAATAGCAGAAAACGTATCAAAAATTCAAGAAATTTTTTAATATTTTCAAAGTCTTGATTGTAAAAACTTTTAACATGAAAAAAAAAAAAAAAAAAAAAATATTAACCTTTTGCTGGTTTGCAATGAGCTTGCTTTGCAAAGCAAGGACATTGCGCAAGTGAGTCACTTGTCGTTGCTTAACTCCTTGTTCCTGTAGCCTTATGACCCATTCTAACGCTTGACCCAACGATACAGGCTTTGTTGAACCAGCTTGACCTCCACTGCCAGCGTTTCCAACATAATTAAAGTCTAATTGGTGAGATAAGTAAGACGTAGCTTCCAACAATCTGTTGAATTCTCTTTCAACCATTTCATCCTTATCTTTTGGAACCTATTGCAACAAAGTTATTCTTAAGGCTATGTTTCATTGAAACAATACAATTTTAATGCTTTCCGTGTGCAACGAGAAAATATTGTTACTTACTGTTGATCCATCACTTTCATACAAAGGGCATTTTTGCTTGATTTTATGCAGTTCCATGTTGATCTGTTTACTTAAAATAGTGACAGGATTGCCTCCAAGACCCGTGACAACCATTGCTCCCAAATCAGCGACGTAATTAGATTTTCGAAACGTAGCTATACGTCCACCAACTCTGTCCTAAAAAAATGAAAGTTTCATTAACTTGTTGATGATTTACATGTGTACATAGTAAAATACAAAATTATTAGTTAAAAAGCAATAAAAAATTATAGTATAGTTAACTAATAAATTGATACGAAAAAAAAAATGTATTTCATAAACTACCTACTCTTGCTTCCAAAACAACAACTTCAAGACCAAATTGTTGCATTTGTTGAGCTGCTGCCAACCCAGCTATACCAGCTCCAATAACAACGACCTTCCCTAATTTTTTGGTAGGTATAGGCTGCAGAACAGATAATTTTATAAAATCAAATTTTTTTTTTTTTATACAAGAAAGTGGATTTGGTTTGTTTTTTATTTACCCTTAGACGTTTGAAGACACCAAAATTAATAAATCCGTGCCTTTCCAAAAAAGCATGAACTCGTCTGACTAGAGCTGGATCACTGTTGTATGGAGGCTCGATGGCAGGAAGGGCATTTTCAAAAAGCAATTGCTGTTTAGGGTTTTCGACCCATATTTGCAACTATAATTTAATGTTGATAAAATTATTGTTATTATTATTTTAGATTCAATGATTTCTTTTACACTATAGTTTGGAACATACCAATCTATTACGAATGTGCAAAAAGACTTTCTGAGTCTGTGGGGGTCCACCAGAGACATCGGGAAAACAGGCAGCTTCCGTAGACGTTAGCTTTTCAAAAGGTAACCGGCTTTGAAAGGCAGCTCCCTCTAATCCATTTAATAGTTCTTTGACTGTAAAAGAAAACACAACATAATTTGACACTCATGTTAACCACGACACATCAACCTAGGAAACAACAGCAACGTTCTATAAAAACAGAAAAAGCAGGGCTAACCGCGAGGATCTTCGTGATCACTGTCTGGGTCTTCTTCCTCCTTTATTTCAACCTTGGAAGCCGACGGTACAGGCGTACTCGAGGTCGACTCGTTTTCCTTTTTGCTGTCACCAACCGGTTTCTTCTCCGGGGTAGTGTCCGACGCATTCTCGTCGTCGATGTGGCTGCCTATCTCCCTGTACTCGACCTACAACAACCATCCCCGATCGTCATTTCGACCAATTTTGACGTTTTGTTGCAAATCTTTGCAATCCTTTGACACTCGATTTTGAGGTTAGTTTTCGCTATTCTCACCTTTGCGCGCTTCCTCCGGCTCATTTTGCGAATATCGAGGTACTCGCTGAAAGATACGACAATCACTACGGATAAAACACTTACCGAACCGAAATATTAATACAATATTTGGCAAAAAATCACGCGTGTTTCAAGATTCAAGCGGCACTGGTATAAGTAAACACAAACAAAACTTGTCAGGCTGCCGGAACGACTGAACAGACGACCCGATCTAGCCTTAACTTGAAACAAAAAAGGACGTGGGTCGATGGCGGGTAAATTTGAATAACGATTTAAGGGGATGCGGGATCGCGTAGTAACTATTAAAAATAAGCATTTTTTTTATGATAGGCACCGTATGTCTATCTCGCTTGGTTTTCAAGATATCGTACTCGTACCATGATTTATCGTAGACCCATGTATTGTTGATGAAAAGCGGTAAGTCAAGATAAGATAGTTGGATATTTGTGTAAATCAGAAAAAAGTATGCGATGTAATGAAATTCGATTTTTCCCTGTTTATAAACCGAAGTATATTATATATACTAAGCACTTTAAATAAAAAATTATTCGTATCAATTATCGATTAGTGACTGATCACGGACTTTTT